AGCCATGAGCTGGCCCGGCTCGGGCTTTTTTCGGACCGAGCTCAAGCCGACGAGGCATTTTGCCATCCCTCACCTTACTAGACAAGCTAAAAGCGTTCACTTTAGAACTTTACTAAGTATTTTTTCATTAAAGGGTGACAGCAAGATAGGGATTCTTCCTTTGAACTATCTAATATTAAACATCATTGTTGTCCGATCTTGTCTGATCTCATACTATATTGAATTGAACCGTTTTATCACCGAGAAGCCAAAAGTGTTGCTTTTGAACCTTGCTTCAAATATGTGCAAGAAATGAGTCTTTGGAACTTTTGACTATGCTTTTGCTGCCTAAGAAGATCTTACGAGGTGTCCTTTAGAGAAAAGCTCACTGCTCAGGTGAAATTATTTTGTTCTTGTCTGCTTATTCCAAGCAATTTTTTCTTTGCTTAAAAGCCTAAAGGGAGAATAAAGATACACAAGCCACAGACAATAATTAACTTCAGTTAAAGCTACTGCTAAACTATAATTGTTCTTGCCCACAAAATGTCTTCAAACTCGACTTGGCTATGAGTTGGAAAAGTCGAAAATCAAACATTCATTCAAATGTTATGTCCCATGATGACTTTGATTTGAGACAGTTTTTGGTTTAGTTTATTATTGTTGTACATTTTAAGAGAATCGACTTTAACTATGTATATATTTGATATATGCTCACAATTGACCACGTCAGTTAACATTTGAAGTCAAAATTCGAGTATCTTTGACCAAAAAATAGAGCAGATAGGAGACAGCAAATGTAGTAAATTAGAAAATTGTGTCACTTTGCATTATGGTTTACTGAATTATACTCAATAAATAGAGTAAAAAANGTATCTTTGACCAGAAAATAGAGCAGATAGGAGGCAGCAAATGTAGTAAATTAGAAAATTGTGTCACTTTGCATTATGGTTTACTGAATTATACTCAATAAATAGAGTAAAAAAAAAAAAAAGTTTAAATCTTACCTAATATAAAGATTTATCTTACTTAACATGTTCGAGTGGGCTTATTTCTGAAAAATAAGTTCCAAAATTGGCTTATTTGGAAACTAGGTATTGTCGTATGGAATTTAGAGTCTAGGGAGGCTGAAAGATCTTTTCTTTTGTTCAAACTTTTGGGGGCAATTTTTCAAAATATTCGGGCTTGTTTAATCCTCGTATTTGGTGTAAAATGTATTTTGGAATAGTAGATCGATGAAGAATGTATGGTCATTCTCCAATTTTGAAAAAATATTGGAATTTTATGAGCATAGTTTCTGTTTCCCTCCAATGTTTATGTCCTTCGTGCAAATATTAACCCGTTTGGCTCGCATTATTTTTCATTAAATTATAATTCATTTTTCTTTTTTTTTTTATCAATCACACATT